GGGTGTAAATGTTCTTCTCCAAGTATCGCCTATGAAAGGCGTGATGCGGTTTGGGAAGAAGGGCAAGTTGAGGTCGAGGTTTATTGGCCCGTTCGAGATCTTAGAGAAAATTGGGAAGGTTATTTACAAGCTTGCATTGCCTCCTAGCCTACCAGGGGTACATCATGTATTTCACGTTTTTATGCTTCGGAAGTACCATGAAGACATGTCACAAGTTTTAGACTTCAGCACAGTGTAGCTTGATGAAAATTTGGCCTACGAGGAAGAGCTGGTGGCCATTCTAAACCGGCAGGCTCGTAAGTTGAGATCGAAAATTTTTCCCTCCGTGAAAGTGCAATGGAGAGGCCAGTAGATTTAGGAGGCAACGTGGGAGTCCGAGTCCGATCGGAGTATATACCCCACCTTTTTACTAGTCCAGGTACTTTTTCTATGTCCGTTCGAGGACGAACGTTTCTTTTAGAGGTGGAGAATGTGACGACTCGATAAGTCGTTTTGAGTACTAGCCTTAATTTCTGTATTACCAGACCTCTCATAACTTTATTTGATGTTTCTTAATTTGCGTGCGTGGTTTATGTCGCTTTTCGAAAAGGTTTTACGTAAAAATTTAAAGAAAATGTGATTTTGACGATTCCGGTAGGTTCGTATAATGTTTTTGGACTTGTACGCACGTTTGGTTGGGGTCCGGGGGTGACCCAAGGGCATTTCGACGCATTATGTGAAAATTGAGTTTTAAGCTGAAATTCTTGAGTTTTGATAATAGATTCTTGTTATTTGATGTAATTTTGATGATTTGAGGTTGCGAGCAAGTTTGTAGGATGTTATCACACTTGTGTGCATGTTCAGTTTGGAGCCTGAGGGGCTCGAATGAGTTTTGGATGTGATTCAGAAGGCTTTGAATTGTTGGTGCTTTTGTTAGTGTCTTAGGTCTGCAGGTCTCGCATTTGCGATGACCTGTTCACAATTGTGAGTCCTGCTTTTGGGAAGTTTGATTCACAAATGCGATGACTGGGGAGGGGCTGCTGGCTTCGCAACAACAAAGATGTTATCGCAAATGCTATCCTTTGGGACTTCTCTTTTGCGGTTGTTCGGTCGCAAATGCGATTTGAGCTTATCCGGACAACCTTCACAAATGGGAATGGGGGTATCGCAAATGGGAAGGGGGGAGGTTCGCAAATGTGAACTTTTTGTTGCTTTTGCGACCATTGATGGCTAGACAGCTGTTTGCTTTTGTGAACAGTGTTCCACATTTGCGAACATCGTAATTGCGGACCCAGCTGGGTAAAAGAGGAGAAAATTCGAACTTAGCTCATTTTACACCATTTTTCATCTCTAAGCTCTTTAGAGGCAATCTTTAAAGAATTGTTTCTTCCCAAATTCATTGGTAAGCATCTTTAACTAGTTTTCAATCAATTTCAATTACTTTTCATGAGGTTTTAACATCAAATCTAAGAATTTTATATTAGAAACGGAAAAGGCCTAAAAATGCCACTCAACTAACAGAAATGGCCTATCTATGCCATCCGTTAAAAGGTTGGCCTATTCATGCCACTAACGTTATACTTTTGGCCTATTCATGCCACTGACGTTATACTTTTGGCCTATTTATGCCATTGTCTACTAACAACTCCATTTTTTGATTTTTCCGTAATAAGAATTAATTTTTCGACCCCACCTTTGCCACGTGTCTTTATATTACTGGTTCTTCTTTACTTGACCCTACATTTCTTTTAACCCTAATTATGTATAATTAACCATGCCCAACCCGATAAAATACAACCATCTTTTAACCCAACCCCTAATTCTTTGTCACGATCCAAAATCCAACTAGTCGTGATGGCACCGAACTCAACCCGCTAGGTAAGCCAATTAACGACTATCCAATTTAATGAGATTTTTTAAAGACAAATAAATGATAAAATAACTTATTAAATCTCTGTGGGAAATGCATTAAGGTTAAGTTATTTTATCATTTATTTGTCTTAAAAAAAAATCTCATTAAATTGGATAGTTGTTAATTGGCTTACTTAGCGGGTTGGGTTAGGTGCCATCAACACTAGTTGGATTTGGGTCGTGACAAGGAATTAGGGGTTGAGTTAAAAGATGGTTGGATTTTATCGGGTTGGGCATGGTTAATTATACATAATCAGAGTTAAAAGAAATGCAGGGTCAAGCAAAGAAGAACCAGTAATATAAAGACACGTGGCAAAGGTGGGGTCGAAAAATTAATTCTTATTACGGAAAACCAGAAAATGGAATTGTTAGTAGACAATGGCATAAATAGGCCAAAAGTATAACGTCAGTGGCATGAATAGGCCAAAAGTATAACGTTAGTGGCATGAATAGACTAACCTTTTAACGGATGGCATAGATAAGCCATTTCTGTTAGTTGAGTGAAATTTTTAGGACTTTTTCGTATTAGAAATTAGAGGTTTTGGATAGAATTTAGGGAATTTATAAAATTGAGATTTAAAGCTCAAATTGAGGTCGGATTTTGAAACAAATCACATAACCGGGCTCGAGGGTGAATGAGTAATCGAGATTTGGTCTGAATCTCGAGTTTTGACAAGGCAGTCCAGGGTTGACTTTTGATTGACGTTTTCAATTTTGCTAAAGATTGAACTTTTTTTCATTCGTGGGTAGCTTCTAAAGCTTATTTTGAATTGTTTGAACGATATTTAGCTAGATTTGGTTGGTTTGGAGGTTTGTTCGAAAGGAAAAGTCGTGATTGAATGTTGATTTGGTTGCGGAAAGAGGTAAGTGTCGTGTTTAACTTTGATTTGAGTGAATTATGATTTCTTTGGTCTATTTGCTATGTGAACTAGATGTGGGAACGTCGTATATACGTGGTGACGAGTGTATATGCACTGCCATGGGTTAAAGTATGTGGGTTGGGCTATTTACCTTTATATCTTTATTTATTCTATGTTATATTTCGTTTCATGCTTTGATTTGCTACATGTCCTTACTTGTTATTCATGCCTTACTTGTTATCTGTCAATTAGTTGCTACATGTTTCGGTTTATTCATTCTTCAATCAATACCTGCTTACAGCTATATGTTCCTACCTGTATTAATTGTAGATCTTGATTGATTCATGTCTTTACTTGCCTTAGTTGTCTTTACCTTACTTGTGCACTATATTATATTGTGTCCGATTGTGGGAGTTCTTTAGCTATTCTTATATTGATGATTTGTCGAGGTTTGTGAATACGAGGTATTGGTTATTCTCTACTTGTACTGGTAGTTCCTTGATGTTCTATACGCTTTATTTCCTTTTGTGCTGAGATTACAAAATTTGGTTGTGTTGAGTTGTTCATGTTAATGAGTTGGTATTGGGAACGGGTTGCGCTCCTCAACAATATTGAAACGAATTGATAATAGGAACGGGTTTCACGCCGCAACAAATATTGATATGATGTTGAGATCGTGTTGCACGCCACATCAGATATTATGATAAATGTTGGGATCAAAGTGCACACTGCAACGAAGTACGATGTATTGTAATGTCTGTAGCTGCAGTATTCTATGGTTGTACTATGATATGAGGATATTGTGATGGTGTTATTCTAGGGGCCTCTGTTAGTTGACCTTCGGGTCCCGTTCTAATGAGTAGTTGTTTTCTCTATATTTATGTTGTATTTCATTTATTATTCGTACAAGTGTCTTGTCATAGCCTCGTCACTACTTCGTCGACATTATGCTCGACCCTTACAGAGTACATGGGACCGGTTGTACTCACACTACACTTCTGCACTTCTTGTGCAGATCTCGGTGTTGGTCCCAAGGGCGCGTAGTGGAGTTTGCTCGGATCTGATATGCTCAGGAGACTTGAGGTGGAGGTGCACAACGTACGCAATCCCTGAAATCCTCTTCTATTTCGTTTTTACTGATTATTTTGTTTCAAACAGATGTATTTCATTCAAACCATATTTGTACTATTTTAATTGCTCATGTACTTATGACTCCGAATTTTTGGGATTAGTATAAACTGCGTTACTTATGTGTTTATTTCCTATATTTCAGAGTTTATAAATCGTTAGTTTTCATTATTCTGCTTTAAAAATGTTAAAATTGGTCAATTATTTAGCCAATATTGGCTTGCCTAGCAAGTGAATGTTGGTTGCTATCACAAGTACATAATTAGAATTTCGGATCGTGACAGACATGTCTGAGGGTCATTGTTTAAGGGCATGACTGTAGCCTAGAACCCTACTAATAGGACTGTTTAAGTGAGGATCAGGATTGTGGTACATTGGTCTCATGATCACAATTTTAGTTCACTCTCTAGTTACCTTACTTTACTATTTTAGTCTCAAATGTGGTGCCTTGACCGCAACCAGGATTGAGTGCAATATTTTTTTTATAATAGTGAAGTCCAGGCCAGCTTGCACGCACCTCGATTAATTTTACGGGGTAGCTGCTACCTCCCAGCAACAACATATAAATGTAACTCTATCCATGAAGACTTGGATAATTGGGAAGAAATCATCTAGTATTTTTGTCTCCATTCGGAAGTGAACCTGAGATCTCATGGTTCTAACGCATTCAATTGACCACTAGGCCGCACCCTTGGATGCGTGACAAGCTATAGGTTCAATTGAACCCAATAATTTTAATACAGTTCTTAGATATACATATCTAAAAAATCATCAAAAGTGCACTAAATATTAAATTTTTGATCCCACAACTTTAAAGTGCAATGGGTTTAACCGCGGAACATAAAGATTGAACCCAACAAATTTAAGGTGTGGATTCGTCTATGATCACAACTACGATTCTGGTTTCTATTTTATGTTGGTCCAATCAGTCTGAACTACTTTTACAATTTCCAAACAATATTCAGTACAAAAAGGCACATTCTTCCAACATTATCCTATAAATACATAATAGGCACATATGAACACAATCATCAAACATGTATACTCGGCACATACAACAAGCACCAGGCCAAAAGATAAGGGCAATGAAAAAAATTAAAAATTAGAAACTTGGAAGATTACCATAAAATATATGGAGTTGCGTAACCTTTAAGGACCCTAGTCCATATCCTCATCACCAAATGAATAGAATAGATTGACTAACAGTGATGAATCGTCTGATTCTCCAGTCGCCATAGCAGAAGCAACAAGTTCGGCGATAAGCAACAAGTTCGATGATCACCGCTGTAAAATTTTCCTGTCGCCATACCTATAAGAATTTAAGGCTGTATTTTGTTGCTTTGTGTATTTTTCTTTTTTTGGAAAATAAAGGATAGCTCTTGGAACTGACAAGTTGTCTTTTGTTACTTATTGGGTAGCTTCACGTCTCTCGTTCTTATCCATTTAAAGTATAACTTCCCCACACACTATATACTTGCAAAGTCTGGAGTCACGTGTCCATGAATTTAATAACTACATTCCTTTAGGATCCTATTACTATATGTTTTTAATTTAAAGATCTTTATATGTTCTTTAAAAGTTTCCTTTCATGCCAATTTATGTAGGGTGTTTGATTGGATACACAATTTAAGAAAGAATTTTTTTTAAAATTAATTATAAATATTTATGTGATTATAAATTATTGAAATAAGGTTAAATAAATAAATTTGATGATTTTTAAATATAATTAAGTATCATTTTTAGGACATAACAAAAAAAAGTGCATCGTATAAATTGACACTGAAAAATGATACCTTTTATTAGAAAAAATTTATCTAAATTATATATTTATCTCTCTATTAAATATTTCACGTAAATAATACTCTACTAATTAGAGCAGTAAGAGTAATGTTTTTTTAAAAAAAATGAAAGTATTTGTTTCATTTTATATGGTGTAGTTTGACTAAGCACATACTTTAATAACAATTTTTTTTTTTTGGTACACTCCAAAATTATCATTAGATTTTGTAAACTGAAATATTTCTATAACTAGAAGGGCATGTCACTAAGGATAAATCTAAAGTTTAAGGTTGAAACGTTTCAAGATATAAAAGTCTAACATTTTTTTTAGATAGACTAAACATGAAATAAATATTGCAATAGAAAATGAGACAAAGAAAATAAATAATTTTTATTTTTCTAAAATATAGTAGAGTATTTAAAAATAAATTGAATTTTTAAAACGATTAAAATTTAAAACAGGAGGAATACGTAATCTAGAGTAAAAAAAAAGTGTTCGACTGTAACGACCCAACCGGTCGTTTTGACTTTTAGAACCCCGTTCCCTTAAATAAAATTTTTCGTATGTGCTTTAACGATTTATGACTTGTGGGGATGGTTGGTTCGGAATTTGAAAGTGTTTGGGTTGAAATCGGAACACTTGGTTCCTTAAGTTGGATTTAAAAGGCTAAGTTTGACTTTGGTCAACATTTTAACTAGTCGTGATGGCACCTAACCCAACTCGCTAGGTAAGCCAATTATCACTATCCAATTCCAATAATAATTATTAAAGCAATTTAAGTAAAGAAAAATCTTAATCTTATACATTCCCCAAGAACTGGTAGTACAAATCATGAGCTTCTAAGAATAAAGTATACAAGCTGGTATGAAGTAATACATCATCTGTTTGAAAAGTACATAAATAGAGTTTTATAAATCTAAGGCTACTATGAACAAGAGGCAGCAGCAACCAGAACGCAGGTACATCTTCTGATCCAGCTCCCAACGGACACAGCAACATCAGCAGCCAACATCTGCACGCAAGGTGCAGAAGTGTAGTATTATTAAAATGGATAATTAAGTTAATTGATTATGGTTGGCTTGCCTGACAGTGGTGTCCAGCGCCATCACAGCCTTTTTGGATTTTGGGTCGTGACATCGACGATTCCATGCATCATCATCTACTTTTAAGCTATGAATACATACATCGGCATTTGTTATTATGTCCATGCATATACTTTTCAGTAGTTAATTTAGTAACGGGCAAAGTTTGTAATGGCATGGCAAATACTATTTCAATCTTAATTAAATGCCTCAGGTTCAAACTCTGGTTATTTAGTCATTACTGGTATGGGAACGTTTTATCCTTAAAATGGGACTTTTCGATAATAATCCAGATTGATCGAGTCTCAAAGTGATCATCGGACACCGAATAAGAAACAAAAAATAAAAAAGAGGAATTAATTAGTAGTATTACCTCAGTTTGTTCTTTTATATGATTACTAGTTTTAGGGTATGTGTGTGTTTCCCATATCAATGAATAAATAGTTTTTTAAAAGAATATTTAAGTGTTGAACATTAATATGTTTGAACTCTAAAACAAAATTAAGATATGGAGTATAACTTTTTATTACTATGAATGTGATCTCATTTAGCTAGTTAAATAAATGATGAAATCATGTCCGATGAAAGTCTTCGGAGTTTTATAAGAATATCTTATAAAAATTATTGTCAAATAGCGAAACAAGTAAAATATTTTAATCACGATGATCTATGAGTCCATGAATTTAATAACGGCAAAGGGCCAAATATACCCATGTACTTTCGAAAATGGTCTAAGAATATCCCTCGTTATACTATTGAGTTATCTATACCTTTGTAGTCATACTTTGGGTTCAAATATACCCCTCATTTAAATGGAGGGACACGTGTCATCATCCTATTGGCCAATTCTAAATATCTCCTAATTAATTAAAAAGACCCATTACGAAAAGCAATTTTCTAAAGCAATTTTTTTTTTTGTAAAAACTGGAAAAAATTGAATTTTTTTTACTAAAAACTGAAAAAACAAAAATATATTTTTTTCAGTTTTTACAAAAGAACTTCTTTAAAAAATCAGAAAAATATTTTCTAAAACAATGTTTTTGTAAAAACTGAAAAAAATTGAAAAGCAATTTTCTAAAGCAATGTTTTTGTAAAAACTAGAAAAAACTGAATGTTTTTTTTACTAAAAACTGAATAAATCGAAAATAGGTTTTTTAAGTTTTTAGAGAAATATTGCTTAAAAAAACTGAAAAATAATTTTCTAAAGCAATGTTTTTGTAAAAACTAGAAAAAACTGAATGTTTTTTTTACTAAAAACTGAATAAATCGAAAATAGGTTTTTTAAGTTTTTAGAGAAATATTGCTTAAAAAAACTGAAAAATAATTTCTAAAGCAATTGTTTTTGTAAAAGCTAAAAACAAAACTGAAAAATAATTTTCTAAAGCAATATTTTTATAAAAATTAAAAAAATAAATATTTCTTTTTCAGTTTTTAGTTAAAACAATTTCAGTTTTTTCCAGTTTTTAATTGCTTTAGAAAATTAATTTTTAGTGTTTTTCCAATTTTTACAAAAATATTATTTTAGAAAATATTTTTTAGTATTTTTTAAAGTAGTTTTTTTGTAAAAACTTTAACAAAAAATATTTTTGTTTTTTTTTTCAGTTTTTAGTAAAAAGAATTCAGTTTTTACAAAAAAATATTGCTTTAGAAAATTACTTTTCGGGTATGAGTAATGAGTCTTTTTAATTAATTAGGAGATATTTAGAATTGGCCAACAAGACGATGACACGTGTACCTCCGTTTAAATGAGGGGTATATTTGAACTTTAAGTATGACTGCAGGGGTATAGATAACCCAATAGTATAATGGGAGGAGGGGGGTATTCTTAGACCATTTTCGAAAGTACAACGGTATATTTGGACCTTCGCCGATTTAATAACTACATTCCTTTAGGATCCTATTACTATATGTTTTTAATTTAAAGATCTTTATATGTTCTTTAAAAGTCTCTTTTCATGCCAATTTATGTGGGTGTTTGATAGGATACATAATTTAAGGAAAAAAAATTAAAATTTATAATCTAAAATAAATTATAAATTATTTAAATAAGGTTAAATAAAAAATTTGATGATTTTTAAATATAAATAAGTATCATTTTTAGGACATAACAAAAAAAGTGCATCGTATAAATTGACACAGAAAAATGATACCTTTTATTAGAAAAAAATTATCTAAATTATATATATTATCTCTCTATTAAATATTTCACGTAAATAATACTCTACTAATTAGAGCAGTAAGAGTAATTATTTTTAAAAAACAAAAGTATTTGTTTCATTTTATATGATGCAGTTTGAATGAGCACATACTTTAAGAACAGGTTTTTTTTGGTACACTCCAAAATTATCATTAGTTTTTGCAAACTCAAACATTTCTATAACTAGAAGAGCATGTTACCAAGGATAAATCTAAAATTCAAGGTTAAAAAGTTTTAAGATATAAAAGCGTAATATTCTTTTTTAGATAGACTAAATAGGAGATAAATATTGCAATAGAAATTGAGACAAAGAAAATAAATATTTTTTGTTTTTCTAAAATATAGAGAGTATTTAAAAATAAATTCAATTTTTTAAAATGATTAAATTTAAAATAGGAGGAATAAGTAATATCCACTTATTTTGACTTTTTTATATGATTATTTTGTTAGATATAAAGGTCGAAAGTGAGAATTCAATTGAAGTGTGATTGATATGATCTCTATTTCAGTTCAAGTTTTCCATTTTCCGAGATAGTCATTTAACTACCTTTTTCACTCTTAACTATTCTTTCCTCAGCAGGCATACAAACTACAAAATCTAGAGTAAAAAAAAAAAAGTGTTCGACGATTCCAATCCATGCATTCAAATATAGCCAGATTTACAAGTGGTAATTGAAAAATAGTCACAGTTTCAAAAGTAATCAAAATTTAGCCACTTTTCATGTAAAGATAAATCTGAACGAAAATACTGTTCAAAATTCAAAAAATATTCCAACATAATATACTGGAGTTCCAGTATAATATATCGGTTCAGCATAATATGCTGGAAGTTCATACACAAGTGCTCCAATCTCCAGTATATTATGCTGGAACTTTTCGCGTGTTGGAGTTCTAGCATAATATGCTAGAAGTTCATACACAGGTGCACCAATCTCCAGTTTATTATGCTAGACCGGTCCATGTTACACCAAAATAGTAACTATTTTTCAATGACTTTGTAAACGCTGACTATTTTTCAATTACTAGTCCCAAAACTGACTAGCCCGTGCTATTTTTACGTTTTAAGATATGAATACATCGGCATTTGTTATTCTGTCAATGCATATACTTTTCGGTAGTTAATTTAGTAACCGGCAAAGTTTGTAATGGCATGACAAATACTCATTCAATCTTAATTAAATGTTTTAGGTTCAAACTCTAGTTATTTAGTCATTACTATTATCCCACTAGTGGGGTCTGAGGAGGGTAGTGTGTACGCAGACCTTACCGCTACCTTGGGGTAGAGATGCTGTTTCCAAATGACCCTCGGCATTCTTCCCTCCAAGAACTTCCCACTTTGCTCTTTGGGTGACTCGAACTCATAACCTCTTGGTTGGAAGT